GGGCCCCAGTTGTTTATGCCCTAGTTTCTTCTTGGCCAACGACCTGGCCGGCACTGCGTGGGCTGCTAACCAGACCCAGTCTCCCACGTGGAGCTCTTCGCCAACCCTTCTGTGTTTGTCCGCTTGTACCTTGTATGCGTGCTTGGCCAGCTCCAGGTGGCGCCTCAGCTGATCGTGGACTTCCTGCAGCTCCGACGCGAACGCATCTGCTGTCTGCGGCTCCCCCTCCCCCATTCTTTCCAGTCCCGGGAAGGTTCTGGGGTGCCTCCCGTTGTTGGCGAAGAACGGCGTGACCCCCGTGGACACGTGCTTCGTGTTGTTGTAGGCGAACTCGGCAAGCGGCAGGTAATCCACCCACGTCGCAGGCTGTTGATTTGCATAACATCTCAGGTACTGCTGCATGATGGCATTGACCCGCTCCGCTTGCCCGTTGGTCTGCGGGTGTCTCGCCGACGCCAGGTTGATCTTGACGTTCAGGAAGCCCATCAGCTTCTGCCAGAAATTCGAGATGAACTGCCGCCCCCGGTCGGACAGAATAGACCGTGGCAGACCGTGAACCTTGAACACGTGGTCTATGAACAGTTTGGCGGTTTGCTCCGCCGTGGCCACCTTAGCACACGGAATGAAATGTGCCATCTTGGAAAACAGGTCCACCACCACCAGCACTGCCGTCTTGCCCCTCGAGCTGGGCAGATCCGTGACAAAGTCCAGGGCCACCCTTTCCCAAGGTTCGACCGGAGTTTGCAGCGGTTCCAACAGTCCGGCCGGCGGTCTGTGCACTGGCTTGGCCCTCTGGCAGGTGTCACACCTCGCCACGTAGTCTGCGACCTCCCCTCTCATTCCAGGCCACCAGAAATCCCTGGCTACTAATTCCACCGTCTTCTCCTTGCCAAAGTGCCCGGCAGTGGGCGCGTCGTGCATCTGCTGCAGCACCTTGGCGCGAAGGTCGTCTCCCGGCACGTAGATGGCCCCTTTACGGATGAGCAAACCATCTCGTAGCTGGAAACCGTCGGCCGCTGCCTTGCCCCTTTGCACCTCTGCCATCTTTGTTTGCGCGAAGGAGTCATCCTGCAACGCTCGTCGCACCGCCTCCAGGTCCACGGTTGCCGCGGCGCACGCCCACACTGTTGGTGCGAAGATGTGCATGGCGGCTGCTGGCGTTGCGTCCTCCAGATACTGCGGCTTACGGGAGAGAGCGTCCGCCATGATGTTGGTGTCCCCCGGGACATACTCTATGCGGAAGTCGAAGTTCGCAAAGAACTCAGCCCAACGTATCTGCCTCTGGTTTAGGAACTGTGCCGTGCGCCAGTGCTCCAGATTCTTGTGGTCCGTGCAAACCTGCACCGTGTGCTTGGCGCCGATCAGGAAGTGCCTCCACGCTTTGAACGCTGCATGAATGGCCAGCAACTCCCTGTCCCAGATGGTGTAGTTCTGCTCGGACTTGCTGAGCTTCCTGGAGTAAAACGCTCCCGGTCGCCACACCCCCTGCGGGTCCTTTTGCAGCAGGACCGCCCCCACGGCTCTGTCCGAGGCGTCTGTCTCCACCCTCATCGGCCTGCTGGGGTTGACGTGAAGCAGCTGCTCTTCCGACGCGAAGAGACGCTTGAGTGCCTGAAAGGACTGCTCCGCCTGCTCTGTCCAAACGAACTTCTTTTTCTTGGAGCTAAGCGTGTCTGTGATGGCCGCTGTCTGCATAGCGAAGCCCTTGATAAACTTGCGATAGAAGTTCGCAAAGCCGACAAACCGTTGGACCTCCTTCCGGTTGCGCGGACTCTTCCAATCCAATACCGCTCGAACCTTGGCGCTGTCCATGGCGAGCCCCTTGTCAGACAACTTGTAGCCCAGAAAATCCACCTCCGTCACGTCAAATTGGCACTTCTCCAGCTTGGCGTAGAGCCTATGCTGCTTTAGCCTGCTCAGCACTTCCTTGACGTGTCCGTCATGCTCCTGCTGCGATTCCGAAAAGATCAGGATGTCATCTAAGAAACAGACGCACGTCTTGTAGAGAAGTCCCGCCAACACGTGATGCATGAAAGCTTGAAAAACGTGGGAGCCATTTTGCAATCCAAAAGGCATAACTCTATATTCGTAGGTACCCAGTGGCGTGAACATGGCCGTCTTCCACTCATCTCCCTCCCGCATGCGAATGAGGTTGTACGCCCCTCGCAGGTCTAACTTGGTGAACACTTTTCCCTTGCGTACCTTCGCGAGGAGGTCGTCGATTCGGGGCATGGGGAAGTCCGATGGCTTGGTCCCATTGTTTAAAATGCGATAGTCCACTACCAGTCTTTTTTGGGGCGTGTCTCGCTTTTTAACAAAGAATACAGGACTGCCCCCCGCTGCCTTGGACTCTCGGATGAAACCGCGCTCCAAATTATGATCTATGAACTCTTTGAGTTCCTGCAGTTCGTCCTCTGACATGGAATACAGTTTCCCTTTAGGCAGCGCCGCCCCCGGCAGCAGGTCAATTTTGCAGTCATATGGTCTGTGAGGGGGTAGCCTGTCTGCCTCCTTCTCGCAGAAAACTTCCAAAAATTCTGCGTACTTGTGGGGAATCGCTTGCAGCGTGCCTAGCAGCAGCTGTGACTCCTCTTCCTCTCCTTCCTGCCGGGGCACGATGCAGTGTTCAGCACAAAAGGAAGAGCCGAAGATCAGCTGCCTCTGGTACCAAGCCAGCGTTGGGCTGTGCTTGTCCAGCCAACTCATTCCCAATACAATGGGCGTATCCGATAGTTGAGTGACATTGAAGCTGATGATTTCTTTGTGATTCCCAAGTCGCATCGCCATCGGTGGCGTCTGCTTCACCACTTGCCCCCCTAGCAGCTCCCTGCCATCCACCGTGACAACCTGCAGGGGCAGTGTGGCCGGTAGCAACTGTATAGCGTGTTTGTCGACAAAGTCCTGCCCTATAAAGTCCGCATTGCTGCCCGAGTCAACTGTGATTGGCACGTCCATGGTGATTCCATTGGGCAGCTGGAGAGATGCGGTGAGCCTCACTACTGGTTTGGGCGGGAGGGGGTTCACGGGCTGTAAAAACTCTGGGGACTGCGTCACTAACACGTCTGGCTGGGCCCCAGGGCCTCTTCCTCCAGCCAGACTGCGTCGTTTCCCTGCTGTGGTCCTCCTTGCTGCGTTGCTGCAGTCACCATTGCTGAGGCTGCAGTGAGCTTGTGGAGCCTCTGGGGACACTCTTTCGCCATATGCCCTGGCTCCTCACAGACGTAACACTTCCTGTTCCCTCTAGGAGGCTTCGCTTTCACTGCTGCCGGTGCTAGGGCTCTGGTTGCTGACTGAGCCCTTGCACCTCCAACCTCCATAGGTTCCACTCCTCCTCCTGGCGGAGGCGTGGATTGCGCACGCGCTGCTTCTCTGGGAAGGAAGGAGGAGCCCCTGGCTGGTTCGCGCCCTCCACGCCCTTCGTCCCTGCTCCACGGACGGTCTTCCAGCCGCACCCCCACTGCCAGTGCCCTCTGAACGACCTCCTGGGTGGTCCGGGGTCTCTCCCCCCTCGCGATCTCATCTTTAATCGAGCTGTGCAGCCCCTCCCAAAAGAGGTCTCTTACAGGGGCCGAATCTCTGTCCCATTCCAGGGCACTGACCAAAGCGAAAAAGCGGGCATGGTACTGCCTCACGCTGGCCCTCCCTTGCCTTAGTCCATGCACCTCCTTCCGGGCAAGATCCACGTCAATGCTTGATAAAAAACACCCATCCATCGCTTTAATAAAGGCATCCGCATTTTGGAGCGCCGGATCCTTATCTCTCCATAAATTGCGCAGCCATGCTTTAGCATCCCCATGCAAATGGGACATGATGAATCCCACTTTCTCTTGCTCATCTCTAAAGTCTTTATTCAGCAGTTGCAGTGCGCACAGTACGTCTGCTCTAAAGTTGGGATACTGTTGCAGGTTCCCATCGAAGTGAGAGACCAGACCGCCTGTTCGTCTCGCCAACCCAATTCCCTCCTGCCTGGGTGTCTGCTTTGTCAGCACGTCTAACCTGACCTGGAGATCCCTGCAGGCGGCAGCTGCCTCCTCCTCTCTCTTCCTGGATGCGAGAGCCTCGGCATTCAGTTGTGACACTGCTTTTCTGAGTTCCTCTATCTGCTGCTCAGCCGTCATGTCGGCTGCCGTTCGTGAGCTCGCTAGTAGGCACCTGCTTCTCTCCCCTCCTCGAGGCTGTAGATGCCCACAATTAAGAGACGGAGCCTACTGTCAGAGCTGCTTGAAGATCCTAGCTCACAGAGGATCACGCTAGCCAGCGATCATTAAGTAAAAGTCTTTATTGAGTTACAGTTTCCATTCTCACGCTGCTGCGCGCAACTCTACGTCTAGTAGCTAGATCGGCGAGGCTCCGTCTGAGTCTCCGCCCCGTGTGCACCAACTTAATATCCTAGCCCGGCTCCACCTTTTCCGCCTGACTGTCCTCCTCTGGGTCCCTCTACCCCCGGGGTCTCTTCCTTCCGGGATTCTTCTGACGCTGACCCCCCGGACCCTCCTGTCTCCTTGCGCCGGGCTTTAGGACCTGGCTCCCTTTCCGGGCTGCTTACTGCGTCACCTTCCTCTGCATTTGAACTTGGCGCGCGCGCCCAACCTTCCACTTTCCGCTTAACCGTTTCTTCGCTCCCCGATGGAGGTGTGGCCACTCCTGACTCGTGCCCTCCCTCCTGTGGTGAGCTGCCAGCGCTTGCCCCCTGGCTCCTTTCCTCTTCCCTGCTCTCTGGCGGTGACGCTGGTCCCGATTTCCAACTGCTCTCCTCTGAGTCCCCTCTGGCTCTATCTTCCTGGGGTGCCCCCCTAGACTCCCCCCTTGCCCTGGCCACTGGTGCTCCTTTCTGTGAATCCTCTGATTCACTGGAAAGACTCGGAGATCTCGGGTCGTCGTCATCACTCATCTTTTCTTCTGCCTCCTCCCCTTCGCTCTCTGTTTCCTCCCTTGCCCTTGCCTCTGCTCCTAAACCTCTGACAGGAACCATGGAAAGAGAGGATAGGAAGTCAAGGAATGCTTTCTGATTTTTTTGTTCATTATTTTAATTCCGAGGAAGGAAAGATTTTTCTTTGTTCTATCATTTTTAGCTCGTTTTTTCCTACTACACAGGGTAGGACACAAATCAATGGCATCAAGTTTTTTATTTTTAAAAAACAAGACTGACTAAACATGTGGAAGAACTTTTTGACAGCAAAAGCTGTTAGTGGATTGGACTCCCTTGGGAGTGCGGGAATTTCCATCCTTTGAGGTTTTCAAGTGAAGTTGGATGGTCATCTGTCATGGATGCTTTACTTGCTATTCCTGCATCACATGGGGTTGAATAGATTGCACCAGGGTTCACTTCCAGCTCCACAATTCTACAATTCCATGATTCTCCCCTGTATGAATTCTTTGATGGGAAGTGAGAGAGGAGTTATGAGTGAAGCTCTTCCCACATTCAAAGCATTTATATGGATTCTCCCCTGTATGAATTCTTTGATGGGAAGTGAGTTTGTAGATATGAGCGAAGCTCTTTCCACATTCCACACACTGATATGGTTTTTCCCCTGTATGAATTGTTTGATGGATAGCGAGACTGGAGCTCCTACTGAGGCTCTTTCCACATTCCATGCACTGATAGGGTTTCTCCCCTGTATGAATTCTCTGATGCCTAGTGCGATCGGAGCTCTTCCTGAAGCTCTTTCCACATTCCACGCACTGATAGGGTTTCTCCCCTGTATGAATTCTTTGATGGGAAGTGAGACTGCGGCTTTGAACGAAGCTCTTTCCACATTTCATACATTGATAGGGTTTCTCCCCTGTATGAATTCTTTGATGGGAAGTGAGACTGCAGCTTTGAACGAAGCTCTTTCCACATTCCACACACTGATAGGGTTTCTCCCCCGTATGAATTCTTTGATGCTTAGTAAGATCGGAGCTGCTACTAAAGCTCTTCCCACATTCCATGCACTGATAGGGTTTCTCCCCTGTATGAATTCTTTGATGCATAGTGAGATTGGAGTTCTTCCTGAAGCTCTTTCCACATTCCATGCACTGATAGGGTTTCTCCCCTGTATGAATTCTTTGATGGGAAGTGAGACTGTGGCTCCGACTGAAGCTCTTTCCACATTCCACACACTGATAGGGTTTCTCCCCTGTATGAATTCTTTTATGTTTAGTGAGATCGGAGCTGCTAATGAAGCTCTTTCCACATTCCACACACTGAGAGGGTTTCTCCCCTGTATGAATTCTTTGATGGGTATTGAGATGGTCGCTCCTACTGAAGCTCTTTCCACATTCCACGCACTGATAGGGTTTCTCCCCTATATGAATTCTTTGATGGAAAGTGAGATCGGAGCTGCTACTGACTCTCTTTCCACATACAATGCATCGATAGGGTTTCTTTCCAATGCGATTTCGTTGATGGGAAGTGGAATGGGAGCTCTGACTGCAGCTCTTTCCACATTCCAATTTTTTGCGCGCCTTCTCCACTCTGCAGATTGTGTTGTGTTCTTCTTTGTTCTTGCTTTCCAATTCACCACAATCTGCAATGGAGAGAAAAAGGGATTAGAGCCTCAGGAACAAATGGAGCGCCCAGTTAGGAAATAATGCTCACTAAATTTGTTGTAGAGAAGGCAGTTGGCTGTGTGTTTATTACCTTTGTTATTTGTAATAAACCAATGTATTTATTATTGGATTCTAATCGATGGTTGAATTTTGCTTTGTTTGAAGTAAGTTACTCATTTTAATTTTTTTGTACTTTTTTCATTAGATTAGATTGTTGTTATTATTACTGTTTCATGTTTATACCGTAGCACCTCAGGTTACGTAACCCTCTGGTTACGTAAACATCAGCTTATGAAAGCGGCAAATCCATGCGCATGCGCAGAACAGTGATCCTCGGGTTGCAAAAACCTCGGGATCTGGCCGGACCTCCGGAACGGATCCCATTCGCAACCAGAGGTACCACTGTATATGTGTTGGAAGCTTCCCAGATTGGCTGGAGCAACCCAGCCAGATGGTCAGCGTTTACATAAAAATTATTATTATTGCTATTATTATCACTGCTAGTACTACCTGAGATTCAATCAGCCTGGCTCTTCTCTGGGGCAGATGTTGTTTGGCCCACTCATGGCATCCCCTCCATCTCCAGTGTCAGTCATCTCTTTGGTCAACCCAAGACTGACAGCAGCAAAAACAAAAACAGAAAACCTGACAGAAGCTACTTATCTTTCCTAACAACTCTGAAGCTGACATTTAAGATGCCTGGGCAGTTCAGATCAGCCCAACTGTGGTAGAAGGAGGCAGAACTGGAGGAAGATTGTTCACAGAAAAAACTGTAATTTACTATTTCTTATGGGGGTGTTAAGTTCCCAGGTGTTGTAGGGGGCGCTGTTGAGCTCTGTGAAAATATATGAGGCTTGTCATATAAAGGTATTTCTTGAATTTCCTGGCAGATAGGACAATCCCACAGGGAGGCTTACCAAGAGAGGCCACGATCCCCCGATTTCCCTCCATGACGTCCTTATGCATCGCTCTCTGGTCAGGATCTAGCAACTCCCACTCCTCGTCCGTGAAACGAACAGCGACATCTTCAAAGCACACTGGACCCTAAAAGAAAAAGGGAAATGTCCTCCTCTGAGACAGCAGAAATATGATCTGCTACACAATGCTCTGTTCTTTCCTTCCTGTTAATTGCTCTGTTATTTCAATAGGATTGCTTTGCTGCACATTTTAATTATGGGTACCTATTTTAACGTTTTAAGTGAATTCTTTTATTCTGCATTTTAAGTGTGTGTATTCGTCTTTTTGCAAATAGGTGATACTCCAGCTTATGTTTACGTTTTTCTGCCTACGCAAGCATTCCAGTTTCCCCGATGGAAGGAACCACTTTCTCCTCTCCTCGTGAGTTGTTCTGGGGAGGTTCCCTCCGAATACAGAGCCAAATTCAATGGGTTCATGGGGGCATGGAGAGGGGGAGGAATGGGGGGCAGGCCCCATTTCGCAGCAGCTGGGCCTGGCTAGGTGAATCCTGGAAATTATTTGTTCTCGTCTGTCCACCGCTTAGAAGCCTATTTTAGCACTCAGTGATGAATATAGAAATACAAGAAGCCAAGTTTGGATGGCCATCTGTCTTGGGTGATCTAGCTGAGACTCCTGCAATGCAGGGGGTGGGATCTGATGACCCCTGGGGTCCCTTTCAACTCTAGGATTCCATGAAAACTGCAACTACAGATGAATCCTACAGGCGACATTCAGAAGGCTGGTGTCACAGAGTTATCTGGGCAGGAAATCCGACACATCACAGCTGGAGTTTACTCTTTATCAGCAAGAACACGATGTTCACAGACTTGGCTGTGTGGGTCTGTCAATTTGCATTGTCTATCAATTAATGGACTAGTTGTCTCGGTGGAAGTTTAGTGTGGTTCTGTCAAGTCTTCTGTCAAGGTCATGCTGAATATAAGAAGAGGCCAGAAGAAGCCAGGGTTTCACTTTCTCTTTCTATATTTCTATCTCTCTCTTTTTTTTTTTTTTTTATAAAATTTTTATTGGTTTTAGAAACTTTTTAAACAAAAAACAAACAAACACCAAAAATGACAAACATACACGTATAGTTTCAAACATATTTTCATAAACTTCTTTCCTTTGACTTCCCCATACCCCCCCTCTCTGCATCCCAGTGTCCAAAGTTCCACTAGCAACTCCCAATTGTTATTTTCAATCTCTATCTTCTTAGTTCTTTTTTTTTAAATTTCTAGCCTTATATCCCTGTATCCCTTTATTTCTGAAAACCGCAACATTTTAGCATTCATTAAGTTTATAGTAGTCCTTAAGATAACTTTTAAATTTCCTCCATTCTTCTTCCACCGTCTCTTTTCGTTGGTCACGGATTCTGCCTGTCATCTCAGCCAATGTCATATAGTCCATCACTTTCATCTGCCATTCTTCCAAAGTGGGTAGATCTTGGGTCTTCCAATACTTTGCGATGAGTATTCTTGCTGCTGTTGTAGCATACATAAAAAAAGTTCTATCCTTCTTTGTCACCAATTGGCCGACAATGCCCAAGAGAAAGGCCTCTGGTTTTTTCACGAAGGTACATTTGAGTACCTTTTTGATTTCATTATAGATCATTTCCCAGAAGGCCTTAATCTTCGGGCATGTCCACCAAAGGTGGTAGAAGGTACCTTCAGTCTCTTTACACTTCCAACATTTGTTATCGGGCAAATGATAGATTTTTGCCAGCTTGACTGGGGTCATGTACCACCTGTAAATCATTTTCATTATGTTTTCTCTTAAGGCATTACATGCCGTAAACTTAACACCGGTGGTCCATAACTGTTCCCAGTCTGCAAACATAATGTCATGACCAATATCTTGAGCCCATTTAATCATGGCTGATTTCACCATTTCATCCTGTGTATTCCATTTCAGCAACAAATTATACATTCTTGACAAATTCTTAGTGTTGGGTTCTAACAGTTCAATTTCTAGTTTGGATTTATCCACTTGAAAGCCAATTTTCCTATCCTGTTTAAAAAGCTCCATTACTTGGTAGTATTGAAGCCAATTTTGTACTTTATCCTTCAATTTGTCATAGCTTTGTAATTTCCACTTGTCTCCATCCTGTTCCAAAATTTCCCAATACTTCGGCCATCCGACCTCCATATTGAGTTTCTTTACTGCTTTAGCCTCGACTGGCGACACCCATCTAGGGGTTTTGTTTTCCAACAGATCTTTATATCTCATCCATACATTAAACAATGCTTTTCTAACAATGTGATTTTTAAAGGCACTATGCTGCTTAGTTTTGTCGTACCATAAATATGCATGCCAACCAAAAACATTATTGAAACCTTCCAGATCCAAGATATCTGTGTTCTCGAGGAGCATCCATTCCTTCAGCCAGCAAAAAGCTGCTGCCTCATAATACAATTTTAAGTCCGGCAGGGCAAACCCCCCTCTTTCTTTTGCATCTGTCAATATTTTGAATTTAATTCTGGGCTTTTTGCCCTGCCAGACAAATCTCGAAATATCTTTCTGCCACCTCTTAAAACATTCCATCTTGTCGAGAATCTGCAAGGTCTGAAACAGAAATAACATTCTAGGCAATACATTCATTTTGATCACTGCAATTCGGCCTAACATTGACAATTTCAAATTTGACCATATTTCTAGATCTCTTTTAATTTCTGACCAGCATTTTTCATAATTGTCCTTGTACAAGTTCACATTTTTAGATGTTAAATATACCCCTAGGTATTTCACCTTCTTAACCACTGTCAAACCTGTCTCCTCTTGAAATTTCTCCTTTTCCATATCTGTTAAATTTTTCCCTAAAACTTTTGTTTTTTGCTTATTCAACTTAAATCCAGCTACCTGGCCAAACTGTTGTATTGTTTCTAAAGCCTTTTTCGTGCTAGTGTTTGGCTCCTGCAAAGTCAATACTAAGTCATCTGCAAACGCTCTCAACTTATAATGTTTAGCTCCGACCTGCACCCCTTTGATCTGCTGGTCATTTCTTATCATGTTCAGCAACACCTCCAGAACTGATATAAAGAGTAATGGGGAAATCGGGCACCCCTGTCGTGTTCCTTTTTCTATCTTAAGTTCCTCAGTCACAACATTATTTACAATCAGTTTAGCTTTTTGTTCTGAATATATTGCAGCCATACCGTTCTCAAAACCCTGGCCTACCCCCATCCCATGAAGATTCTTCCTCATAAAGCTCCAAGAAATATTGTCAAAGGCTTTCTCCGCATCCACAAAGATCAGAACTGCTTTAGTGTTTATATTCACCTCTAACTTTTCCAGAATGTCTATTACATTCCTTACATTATCTGCCAGGTGTCTTTTAGGGAGAAAGCCTGCTTGGTCCCTATGAATCTTCTCCATCAACACTCTTTTAAGTCTTTTTGCTAAAATGTCTGCAAAAATTTTGTAATCCACATTAAGTAATGATATTGGGCGGTAGTTCTTAAGTTGGGTCTTTTCAGTCTCTGATTTTGGTATGAGTGAAATATATGCTTCTTTCCACGATTCAGGTGCCTTTTTTCCCTCAAGGATCTCATTACAAACTTCTCTTAGTGGTTGAATCAACCATTCCTTCAATGATTTGTAGTATCCAGAAGTCAGTCCATCTGGTCCTGGAGATTTGCCCAATTGCATATTCTGAATGGCAGCCTCTATCTCTTGTTCTGAAATTCTCTGGCTCAGATCCATCTTACTTTGATGAGAGATGCTTTGTAATCCATATTTTTCAAGGAATTTATCTATATCTTCTTCATTTTGAGGGCCTTGAGTATAAAGTTTTTTGAAATAACTTAAAAAGCAGTTTCTAATTTCATTGGGTTTAGATATATTTTTCCCATCCACCTCTAGGCTTGTAACTGTATTTAATTTCTGCCTTTTCTTCAGTTGCCATGCCAAGAGTTTGCCACATTTATTTGCTGATTCAAAAGTCTTTTGCTTCATTTGCTTTATCTTCCATTCAATCTCTTGGTTCATCAATTCCATATATTGTGTTTGATACAGCTTGATCTCTCTTAGGATTTCCTGAGACTTTGGTTTTGTTCTTAATTTTCTCTCTCCTTCCTTTATCATTTCCAAAATCTTTTCTTTTTTCTCATTCTGTTTTTTCCTCTTTATTGAATTTTGTTGTATCAAAAATCCTCTCATTACTGCCTTACTTGCGTCCCAGATCACTCTTTTCTCCACGTCGGTCCTCAGATTTATTTCAAAGTAGTCTTTTAAAGTCTTTTGGGCCTTCGTGAGAATCTCCTTATCTCGAAAGAGGCTGTCATTCATTCTCCATCTAAATTGACCAGTTGTTGTGATTTTCATCTCCATCTTCAGGGCGTTATGGTCGGAGCAAGTTTTTGGACAGATTTCCACTTTCTTAATCTTTGGAGCCATTCCACTAGTAATCCAAATTTGATCGATTCTTGTCCAGGTCATCGTTGCTTGGGAGAAAAAAGTTCCCTCTCTCTCCAGAGGGTTCCTTGTTCTCCATATATCTATCAAGTCCATATTTTCTGTCATTTCAAAAAAAGTCTTAGGGAGTCTCCCTTCCTTACTTACTGTTGATCTTTGTGCCTTGTCCATGTTAGTGGAGACCACGCCATTCATGTCTCCCATAATTATCATATTGTAATCCAAATGGTCAGTCAGGGTTTCATGAAGTCTCTTAAAGAAGTCAGATTTGCCTTCATTCGGTGCATAGATTCCAACCACTAAAAATTTTTCTCCTTGAACTTGTATTTCCACTGCCAGATATCTCCCTTGTTCGTCCTTGAATATCATTTTTGGGGCCCATTTCTCTTTCACATATATTACAACTCCTCTTTTCTTGACTTTATCTGATGAAATAAATTCTTGTCCTAGCCTTTTATTAATGAGTAGTCTCCTGTGGGCTCTGGTTATGTGCGTTTCTTGTAGACATATCAAATCCAGTTGTTCTTTGTTCAATATATGAAATACTTGTCTTCTCTTCAAAGGCCCATTAAGCCCATTGCAATTCCAACTAAGGAATTGCA